AGGACTCTACTGTAGTCCTATCACGTATGATCCTGTGCTCTAAGTGGGGAGCAGCCAGATGCACTATGCATCTGCAATACTCTTTCCATCCCAAATGATATTGTTCAGGAGTGCTCAAGAAAACACCACAGAATTAGGCTTTATGGTGTACAGATGTTGAACTGTACTGTGTAAGATCCCCAGATCCTGTCCAGGGTCAACTCATGCCTTCAGTAGTGCCATACCTGAGTAGTCCTGTTCTCTTCATGAGAGCGCAACAAACACACTCATGGAAACCTTCTCACTGGAGACATCCATCCCCTGCTTACTATCCTATTAGTATAACTATAGATGGACCTAGTGGAATTGTGTCCTACTGGATTAAGGTTTTCTTTGGTCATACATGCACGTTTATACAAATTGGGGAAAAAGACACAGTAAAAAACAAACAACATGTTCAGGTTTTGTTCTTCCTATTATATCATGTAGATTATGGTAAAAATTGCAATTTTATTTCTTTATTTACTTCTTTAGGCAGGAAAAATTGTATAGTTTCTCTTTTGGAACTCCTAATGCTTCCTAAATCTTTATCAGACAGACCTAAAAAGAAAGGAAAGGGAGACAATGCCATGCTTAACACACAATTATACAACTGGGCATTTCAGGGAAAGGCAAATAGAAGACAGAATGCTTCATTGTCCTCATTCAAAAGACTAGAGTAATATTGTCACCTTACATGATTAAAGCTTGTGACAGAAGTTGTGCAGGAACCTCAAACCATATCAAATCTAGAACATTAGTCTCTCCATATTCCAAATACAGTGTCAGCTTAGTGTCAACCCTTTTATGACAACACAATTGGCCCACAGCAGGTGTCATCTTCGGAAAAGGGAATCTTGAAATTATCACGTTATTCTTTGAATGTTTTTAACATAAGAAATACAGCAACACAACCATATTCAAACATACAGCCCTTTTTAGAAACCAAATGTCCAAGTTATGTTGCAAAATGAAATGTTATTCAGTTGCTTTTCACATGTTCCTTCTGCATACTGCAAAGCCTATAATCATACTTCTTACTGTGTCTTACTCTTATTCTTAAGATAAAATGCTCTGTAATATGTATTTGTGCAGGAGAGCTGCTAACTTTCTTCAGCTTTGGTCAGGTGAAGTGAAGATTATATCATCCTTTCCCATGTGCACACTATAAAATGATAGCTCATAATCAAGATTGCAGTTTCTACTCCCATGGAGGAAATAACATATCATACCTCATCTAGAATGTCATCAACAAGAGCAATTTAATCAAAGCTGCCTGGTAGCTGTGCTTTGCTATGCACCTTGCACCTGGGCTTCCTTATCAACTTCCAAATCTGTGGAGTAGAAATGCACAGTCTGTGACATCATCCCCAGTGGTTAAGAGGCACATCATGTTACTCTCACCATTCTGCAGTCCCTCTGGGTAGTGTTTTTTGAATGGGGCCTTAATGCCATGTTTTTCCTTTTATTTTAGCTATTATGAAATTGTTTTTTATCAACATGATCAAAATGTGACACCTGAATTTAATTGACAAAATCTGACAAAGTCTCTGTGGGAGCTTTTCTGCAGTGCCCAGTATACCCTGTTATTTTCCTTTCTGTTCTTAGGATGTCTTCTCAAAGTGTAAAGAACTCTCTTAAACTAATTCACATGGTAGACTAACCTTTTGTTTTTCAATCTATGTTATAATCTTTAAAAATATTCCAAACTACTTTCAACATAAAGAACATCCAGGTATGAGGCCATTATGTTCCCTGTGTTTCCAAACCCTTTCATTTTCAGTATGCATGAGTCAGTCCTTTCTCCTATTTCCCCTGCAAAATGGCCTAAAGGCCTTTTCCTTAGGCCTTGTTTTCAGCAGCTAAGAATTCTTGCTCAACATGAGGGCTGCAGGGAGGGAGGGAGGGAGGGAGGGAGGGGGTCATTTAAAAAAAAATGTGCGATTTATTTTTTTAATCTTTGATTATACAGTATGATGCAATTACAGCTCAATTAATATTTTATATTAAAACTAGTCCTTGGCAGTAATGGTATGAATAAAGAGCAACAACACATTCTACTGACTTTGTTCCATACCTATTAAACTGTGCATCAGTATCTACAATCAAGCAATCCACCACCTTCACTTTATTAAAGATCCTACTCTGCCATAGAGTCAATAAGAAAAAAAGTCAGCTACCAAAATACGGGAGATTTGTTTGCAGCAGCATGGAGACCACATGCTTTTAAGACCATAGATGTGATTTTTGTGAAAGTTGCTTAACATTCTCATGATATTGGATGGCCCAGGACTGAGAAACAAAAAATACATTCCTAGTGCTACTGCACAGAGCAGTAATCTTGAGCAAAATACACCTGTTGGATGGATCAGGTATATTGAACAATGCACTTGCAGTATTCCAGAACAGATCTGATCCCAATATTTGTATAGATTTTAGTGGGGAAATTACTAAAGAACTAAGAAAATGAGAAGAGGGCTAGGAAGCAGTGTCTATAGGACCACAAACTATCCAATAGTACAATATTTTTAATTCATACATATCTTCATCTTCTATTAAAATTCTCTTATAGCAGATATTATTTTCATGCAATACATCAAAAGATAATGTATTGTCAAATATTTCTCTGAAATTATTAGAGGATTTTTGAGTTTCCCTTTGTAGCATAGTTAGCATACTCCTTTCACACGCTGATTCAGTGTCATCCATCCAGTGTCCTCTGTAGATTAGACCTTCTGCCTTAATTATGCAATTGCAACCTTCAGGATTGTACATCCTACAGTGGAGCATTTAACCTTTCACTCTATGTAGTATCTACTCCTTCCAAAATACACAGTAGGCAGATAAACAATTTGGGAGGATCTTGGTCCTGTGAGGACTTCACCAGAAGTCAGTTTCTGATCCTAGATTGGGAATTGGAACTTTAATTATCAGGGGTAGGATGTTGGCAACAAGAGAAATTGTTGATAAGTAGGGAAATAAAAGTAAGATGACAAAGAGCCAAGTTCAGTGAATAAATTAGACTTTGTTACATTCATTGAAACTCCCTTAAACCCCTTAAATCTACTTACCTTACCTGCCCATATATGGAGTCTATGTTGGCATAATTTGCACAGCTAGGCTATGCCCAGATGAGCAGGGGCATGAGATTCATGGTGCCACAAAGCGCACATGGGAAATGTTAAAATGTGCAAATTTGCAGCCCGGTAGCAAAAAAGCACTGGGAAAAAACCATGGCATGGTGGACATGACAGGAGCATGTGCCCAAAGACACGGAGGCTTAGTGCTCCAGGGAGATGCTCTGGCTGCCAGCCAGAGCATCTCCACTCCTTCAGCTGTGGTGGAACTCCTCTAGCATGCTGGGAGCTAGAAGGAGTTGAGCACAGGCAGTTTTCCTGAAGCAGAACAAAGTGCATGGATAGGAAAGTGTGTTTTGGAAAAAAGTAGCAGCACAAATTTGTGCCACTACTATTTTTGCCGCTGCAAGTGCATGCCCCTGCACATCTGAACATGGCCCTGGAGTCTAAATACTCATGATCACTGTTTTTTCTAGCTCTTAGCATGCGAGTCAAGCCAACACATACTCAGCTCATAAACCTGCTCAACAGACTAAATTCTGGGGAACATATTAAAGGGAAAAAATGTAAGTAAGCAATCTCAATCAATATAAGCTAATCAGTCTAATAGGAATATACTTTGGCATTACAATAGGTAAAAAAGTAGGTATCAGCTGCAAGCAATTTGGATGTACCTCTGTATGTGACCAAGGGTTTATTGGTCATGCTTTATTTCTGGGTCAGTCAAACGCTTTCAAATATTGTTCTCTGTGAAACATTATTGATAGCACATTGATTCCATTCCAGGAATGCGGGCTCTGGGATGTATCCTTGGGTGGGTGTCTGCACAAGTTTCATATTAACAGCTAGAAACATTTCAAGGCCTGCCCAATGAAAGCTATTGTCTTTAAAGATTAAGACTCCAGCATCATGTGTATCAGTGTCTCCATGCTCAAAAGTGGTGGCAGGGGCACTTTAACTAAAGCTTGTTCGATGAGCTTTAGTTAAAGTGCCCCCGCTGCCATTTTTCAGTCTGGGGACACTGATACACATGACACATTGGGTGCTTTAATTAGAGCGGCTCTCATGTACTCCTGGAGCACATGCTAATTCCAGGTAGCATTTCTTTAAAATAAGAACAATATTTTTTTACTTTGTTTAGTTATCCCACTAGTACTTGAACTCTTTGTAGACACCTTCATCACACTAAGGAATGTTTGGAAAGTTTTCTAATCCAATGAAGAAAGCTGAAAGGTCCCTTAGAGTAAATCATCATAATTTTCCATTAAGTATAAGGTATATTTACCATTTTTAATATTAATATTAAATATATTATTCCTCTGTAATGATCCAAAACACTGTAACAATATTCTTTGAAGTATATGTTTTTGGATCATAACAGCAGAAGATAGTAACATTCTTAGCAAACTTTTAATGTTTAAAGCCACACTAAAAATGAGCTATATCCAAGTACAGAAAAAAAAACAACAATATTTTATTTATAATCTTATTTTAGTGTTTGAACTACAAATTCTGATTCTAGAATTGTTTAAAAGATCATGGGTTTTATAGATGTTCACAAGTAAATTAATTTCTTGGATATTTTCTTTTTTTTTCTTCTTCTTCTTTCACAGAATGGTCCTCTTGGTAAATACAGAACAGGTCATTACATGAAAAAAAAAAAAGTTGTTTTTTGTTTTTTTTCCTTATTCTTCCTTATAAATCTACCCCTAATGCTCCACATCCTGTTGAACCATTCAAGAAGGGCATGAGGAAAGAAAAATGAAACAGAAAAAAGAGACAAAATAGACCAAATCTCACCACTAGAATTCACCATAAAAATTCTCAAAGTGTAACAGAATTCATACAAAATTTCCTAGACCAGTCTTTTAGGGAATCAAGAACTTCTATGAAAAATATGGCCAATGGGGGTTAGAGTAGGTAGGGGAAGGAGGAGGAAAGGACTTGGGTAAATAAGTGCAGCAAAACAGGTTTTGAGGAATACACATAATTTTGTCTGCTTTAGATCACAATAGAATTTTTAATAAATAAATTTCTTTTTTTTTTGTAAAGACACTTTTTTGAAACAGTAGATTTAGCCCAGTCATTTGTGTCATTTGTTTTATAAACCGTCTTTTTTGTCCCCTCCCACCCCATAACTTCATAAATGTTTCAGATCTGAGTCTCTTGTACATTGTCTTTAGAGTTCATTCGGATCAATAACGGTTCATGCACTGAACTGTGTATTGAATTTATTGTGTTAACTGTTGTTGTGTGGTTAAAAGGAGACTTATAAGAGTTATAGTGATTTAAGTGCTCATGCTCTATTGCTGGCATGGGCAAGTGACTCTCTATGGGTGTGTCACCTGTAAGCTCATCATCCACATTAATAATCTCTACAGTCCTTGTTGGAGCATGGTGGTTCTGCCGGTGATGCTGTTTCCTCATTTTGTAGAAAATTACCAACATCACAGCAGCCATGAGGGTGATAGCCACAAAACAACCAATTATGATTTTGGTAGTCTTCATAACCTCATCTATTCCTGGAATCCCATTGTTTGGGTCCGTCACTGGGATGGTGTACGTTTTTTCTGTTGACCTTGTGCTCTGTGGAGTGAGAGAGGTTGTCATGTTGGTGGTCTCCCAGTCAGTAACTGGCGTTGGCCCGACCTGCTCCGTGGTCCGTGCCTCATCCTGAGAAGGTTCCACAGTCTCTACTGTGACAGTTGAAAAGTATGTGTAACCATTTTCCACTGCAGTCACATTAAGCGTGGCAGAAGCTGTGGTATTTCCAACAGAGTTACTCACCATGCATGTATACAAGCCCGTGTCTTGCACGGTCACCTTTGTAAAATTTAATGTGCCATCACTAAGCACAGAAATCCGAACTCTGTATGCCCCGTGTGTCATAACTGATCCATTTGGAGTAATCCAAGATACAGAAGTCAGAGAGGTCGATGCTCGGCATTTCATCTCTGCAGCCATGCCTTCTGTGACGTTGAGGTCTGCTGGTGGCTCCACTATCACTGGAGCATAGCACGTGAAGTAATTCAGGTCCAGCTCACCAATGTACCTTCCTTTCAAGTTAGGAGGTGTGTGGCAACGGGCACAGCATGCAGTGTTGGAGGGTGCTTTGTCTTTAATCCACCAACTGAGCCAAAGAATGTCACAGTTGCAGTTCCAAGGATTGTGGTGCAGGTGAATCCTTTCTAGTCGGAGTGGTGTGAAAAGGTCATGAGGCAGTAGCGTGAGATTGTTGTGTGCCAGATTGATCTCTACCAGTGACTGAAGGTTATCAAAGGCATTCCGTTCAATCACTTGAATCTGGGATTGTATCATCCACAATTTTTGAAGATGCATTAATCCTTGGAAGGATCCAGGCCTGATGGAAGATAGATGGTTCCCAGAAAGATCTAGCTCATCCAGTTTTACAAGCGGTGTAAGGTTAGGGATCTCCCGAAGGTTGCACATGGCAAGGTTCAAATATCTCAAATTGGACAAACCTTCAAAGGCACCTTCTGAGATGTATGAAAGCCTTTTCAATTCACCCAAATCCAACCTACGCAGGGAAGGGATTCTGTTAAAAGCATAAGAAGGGATGCTCTCAATTGGGTTGTTTCTCAACCAAAGCTCCTTCAGTTTTGACAGGTATACAAAAGCCCCATTAGGGATGGTGGTAAGACGATTGTCAAAGAGTTCCAAAGTGTTGAGATTGGCCAGACCATTGAAGGCCCCTATTTCAATTGTTCTAATGTGATTCCTGCTTAGCTGCAAGATTTCTAGGTGCCTCAGATGTTTGAAACTATTCACCTTAATGATTTGAATCTGGTTTTCATGAAGATTCAGTAATCGTGTGTTGGTAGAGATACCGTCTGGGACATCTCTCAGATTCTTCCGCACGCAGATCACTTTGCTGAACTGGTTGCTGCAGGAGCAGACAGAAGGGCAAGTTTGAGCCCTTACTAGACCAGCCACCACAAGTAGTTGAAGAGCCAATAGCACCACAAGCAGGGGGTCAAATAGGGCCCTGTTAAACCTAGGACCTATCATTATCTGCTGTGGATGTAAGGTCATCTTGTTCAACATTCATAATTTATTTGGTGTTGGTCCTTCTGGAGTTTGAATAGTCTGCAAGAAAGAAAGGAAGGGGGAGGGAAGAACGTTAAATAAATACCAAATATTAATATTAGCTGATAAAAATTCTCAGTGCTTTTCAGTCAACCCTGCCTGTTCCATTAGATATGGGTTTTGGTGTTTGCAGCTTTCCACCCAACAGCGCAAGCTACAACTTGCATTTCAATTTAGCACCTTCAGAACATAAGCCATGCTTCATTTCAAGTTATAAATGCTTGTAACAGGATGGCAGGTAAACTGCAACACCTACCAGTACCTAAGAGAAACACACTGTAGGTCTAGAAGGGGAGCCCAGAGAACCAATGACAAGACCCTGAAGAGACAGACAGGCAACAACAGTAAAGAAATTATCTAAGTACCAAGTATTTTAAAGCAGAAAAAAAAAAAAAAACAAACAGAAAAAAATCCCAAAACCTCAGGAGCAAGATAAGGCTTCACCTTTTTGAACCTTTAAGCCTGTGTGAATGTGAATGCAGGTCTGGGGCCATATTGCAAATGAAGCTTTTACTGTTGAATGTAGATCATGAAAATGTGAGTGCAAGATCTTTCTTATTTAATGGAAGCAAATACAAAAAAACCCAAAGCTTTGTGTGACCTGCTGAGCATCAGCTCTCCCCCACCGTTAAACAGCCTCATCCCATTTCACGATATTTCATCCTCTATTCTCGTGTTTGGCAGCAGCAGCAGAGAAACACTCATTAGTAAATGTGTGCTGAACACAGAAATAAAGAATAGCTGTTTAAACTCGGAAAAAAATATCTCAGTAGCTGCAGGGTTAGCAATGTCACTGCTACCTCTAAAAAAATTTCCTACAGATCTTAGTGCAAGGAAGAACAGAGGGAAGACCTTTACACTCTGCAAACGATCATTACCATTAAAAGACTTTCAGTGCTGATTCATCTGTAGTAGTGCCTAAATCCACCAGCCCTGGGTTCATTTTCAATCTGCTGCTCACTGCAAGGTCCCTCTGCTGTAGAGATTAATGAAATTTCCTATAAATCAGCCAAAAGTGAAGTCTTATAAATTACAGCAAGCTCGAAGCACATTTATAACCCAGAGCACCAAGATGCATAATACATGTATTCAGTAGAACAAAATACTATCAGCCAAAGGTTACTATTATTTCCATTTTTGTTTCATTTTGTACTAAAAAGATATCCTACTTTTTAAACTATGGTAAGGGATAATACAATAGAAAGTAAAAGAAAAAATACTATGTTGCGCATTGGAGCAGATCATTTAATGACAGACTTGTTATAATTATACATTCAAAGTACATGGACGGTGCATCTACATGTCATCCTACGGAAATGGAGTGATGCACTATGCCACTGTATGGCATGCTATGCTGATGTACTGTTCACGTGGGTCTACACATGATCGGCAGCTATGTCACCATAGCGGTGCACTCTCCTGAGCACCACATATACGGTGCAGTATGGGCAGTTACTGCACTGTGCTTTAGTACTTCCAAAAGGAAATAAGAAAGCATGGCATCGTAGCAATGTTGCTGTATGGTGATGTGTAAATGTGCCCATATTTATGGATGTGGTTTGGTACTCTTGGTACTAACTTTCTGTTTTAGTTTAGAATTAGAAAGAGTTTTCATTTGAACTTTTAAATCTTTACTGCAGAGGCAGCATGGATTAATGGTTAAAGTTCATCACTGGAAGAGCTGGGCTGTTGTATTTACTCTTTGTTGTTTATAAGACACCAGTCATTGTAGTATCTATTCAAGAAACTGGCACCTCTGCCTTTTGCAACCTTGGGCAACGTCTTTCTGTGTCTATAAAAATCAAGTCAGCGTTAATACTAGCTTCACAGAGGGAAGGCAACATTTAATTAATCAGGCATGATTCTGATCTTACACTGTTGTATAAAAGAAGTAAATCTGGTGAGGTCAGTAAGGACACAATGGTTTGAAAGCAATAAAAGCATAAACAGGCTTTTATTATTGATAACGCTAAGATCTTTGAATGGATTTTGCTACAAACTGAATGCCATGATTCCTATTTTGAACAACTAAGCAACATTTTAAAATATTTTTCTATCATTTTATTTTGGTGTGTTTAATTAATGCATTCTTTAAAATGTATCCTTTACGTATCTGGCATAAATGATACATCCCATTAGCAAGTAATAAAACAGGTAGTCATTGAACCACTTCCCCCATGCAGTAGTACAATTCTCTTGACTCTACTGCAGTTAAGAACAGAGTTTATTCCACTGCAGTTAAGTTCTAAGTTGTCGAGTATCGTTGTATATTTGGAATGGTTTGTAGTTGGGAGATCCATCTGCATCCAGCAGATCCACTTCCACCCTTTCTCTTTGTTGCCTGTTGGTTAGAATACTTAACTGGGAGATGAGATACCTGAGTAACAATCGCTATTCCAGTCCATGAGTATGTCTTGCAAAAGTGAAAGTATCAACAGGGCCTAAATGTGATACTACTTTGTGCTGCTTGAGTCCCTGAAAAACTGTGTATTGGGGGGGGCGGGGGAGGGGGGGATGTGGCAACATGAGTTTATATAGTCTCAGGCACAGAAAGACACTGATCCTGTATCTCTTGACTACCATAACTACTACTGGTAAAAGGGGAACAATTTCCTCCTCCTTGTTTCTACCCCTTCATTTCCTTTGCATTTATTAACAGTATCCAGAGCGATCTTTTTCCCACTTCAGGTTGAACATTTTGTTTGACCACCTAATTGTCTTTTTTTCTTCTCTGTTATGGTAACTGAAATTGAAATATTTTTCCCTAATATTTCTCTTTAACTACTGAACCAAAATTCACTTATTCATAGAGCCCTAATGCTCACGTTGGCATTACAGGCCAAATAATCCTGTGACATTTATCTTTACCTTTACCGTTTATGTCCTGCACCAAGCATATTTCATTCAGACTTAAGCCTGAGGGCCATGCTCTATGAAGTCACCATAAATAATTGTTCTCTACCTGTTATATATGTGTACATTTTCATCCCATCCTACTATTTGCTCAGTTAACTGGATACCTTAAACATACATATTCAAAATCAAGATGGCCACTGCAAGAATGACAGGATAAAGAAGAAAATTTGGAGGTATTTTCATGTGTATTTTTGTGGGGGGATGCTCATTTTATCTCCCTGTGTATCTAAGATTTTATTTTGTATTTTAGGAGTATAAGTACAAAAGATAAGTAAGAAGTCTCTAGTATCTTACTGAGTATATGTGTGGAGTTTTAGCTTTTATAGCTACTATTTGATTTTATTTTTGGACTTATTTATATAAGTATTTTTCCCCATCTCTAGTAATGCATGATATAAAATTCCCTATATCAGCATAAGTCCAGTCTAATTAGGCTTTGTGCCATTGAAGTGTTAGGGAGGGCAAGCTAAAATCCAGTCTCTTCAAATGTGAGGTTGATGCTGCAGATTAGCCACCATAACCACTGCAGTCTAACCAGGCAATAGGGTGCTCAAGATTTCCCTTTGCAGTACACATGGGTTACAAATAGTCTTTCTTATTTGGACTGTGGTTCCCCCTTTCACTGTGCAGACCATATGCATCAAGGTCAATTACACCCAAAATAATATACTAAAAAATAGCCAGCACTAAAGTAAAATATGAAAAAATCGTTTAAATGAATTTTTAAATTAATTAGCTCCAGCCTTAAAAATGTGCTGGAAGTATATTTTTAATGGTCCTCACATAAAGACCCATTTTCAGATGTATATTGGGGGATGGGGTGGTGCTAGTGCTAAGGCGCACAGTTAACAGCCCAAAGATTGCAAATTTGAAGCCATAGCAGAAATGCTAAGGGCATGGCCCTGTCATATTCCAACAAATCTGTTAAATTCCTTATTACAAAGACATGGAAAAGGAATGATGCATATTCTCACAATTCAATCTCTCTTTTTTTTTTTTTTGCTGGCAAAATATAAAGGTTTGGCTTTATAGATTTAATTTATTTATTAGATTTATATAGCACATTTCCCAAAAGAGACTCAGGGCAGCTTACAATAAAAGACAAACTAACTTATAAAAACACATATAAAATATTAAATTATATAGAAGGTATATAATAATAGCTCCCTAAAGAACACCCCAGCTTAACCTGGCTTGCTAAATGCCTGTTCAAATAAAACAGTTTTCATTGCTTCCAGATGTCCTGGATCGGGTTCTGATGACCCACAAGATAGAACGAGTTCCAAAAGCATGACTTCCTATGCAAACTTGATACACAGATGATACTTGCAGATGGTTCCTCTTATTGGATCTTAGGGATCAAGATGGAACACAAAAGAAAATGAGATAGGTATGTAGGTGTGTAGCACCAAGACCCAGGCCTTACAGGTCAAACCCAGTTCCCTGAATTCTTTTCAGAAAGTTATTGGGAGCCAGGGCAGGCTCTGGAGCACTGGACTAATGTGTTCTTGGTGACCCAGGCCCATCACAAGGTAGCTGCCACATTATGCACTAGCTGTAGCTTTTGGCCAGGCGTCAAGGACAGCCCCACATACAGCATTTTGCAATGGTGTAGTCTCAAGTTTAAAAAAGCATGGATGATAGTGGTCAGATCAAAATCTGAAAGAAATATTCCAAGTCTTTTCACCAGATAGAGTTGGTGAAAGATGTTCTTAACTACTACCACAACCTGGAGATCTAGATACAACAAAGGATCCAGCAGCACCCCAAGACTGCAGAATTAAGTGAAAGGGGGACTAAATCCCACCAGTGATGAACATCCTTATCCCCACCCCCCACCAAGTCATGAAGATTGCCAACAATCATCATATTTGCCTTGTTTGGTTTCAGCTTTATCTGGTTCACCTGGATTCAACCCCCAACTGTAGCCAGGAACTGGGTAATAACAAAGACTGTGAGGCTCACATGAGAAAGAAAAATAAAGACAGGTGTCCAAAACTCTGTACTGTCTTTTCTAGGGGCCTCATATGCTCATTGAACAAGAGGTGACAAGAAACCTATGGGACAACAAGTAAGGTCTGGAGAGGATGACAAGCACATTTACCCATCACTACCCTCTGGGATCTCTTTATTAGGAAAGAGCAGAACTAATTAAGAGTGGTTCCACCAGGTTGTATAAACTTTTTATCAATAATTCCATCACAGGGCAGTGAAAGATTCTAGTATGATTAACAAGGCACAATTTCCTTTTTCAGTTTCCAAGAAAATTCAAACAAAAACAGCACTTGTGGACAGTCAACAAGCTTCTTTCACTTCCCTTGATTACTCTTTACTTCCAAGATATTTTTGCCTAGCAACACATGTACAAACAACACAACTCAATAGTACTAGTGTTTATATTTAAAATTCAATGTAAAATATTGAGAATGCTGTTCAATTAAGTTCAATTCAATTCCTATAAGTTAGAAAATGATTAGATTATGTTTGCCTGCATAACCTTAACTCTACCCTTTGGATTTATGCATTACATAAGGCACTCCTTGATAGATTTAAGGCACTCCCCAATAGACTTGAGGCACTACAGAAAAATAATAAAGTAATTCTTCTGTTGCAAAGAACTCGGAAAGATCACAACAAGTCAAAATGTTTTAACTCTATGGATTCCTATTTGAATTGCTGAGTTTTTCTACTGAATTATGTTTGTACACCTAACAGTGCTAACATTGAGCGTCACCCCACAGAATCCTTTAAAAGATCTCAAAACACTTCAGGGTGCTATGGCACCCTGCCTAGGACTCGTTGGCCTATATCCAAAAAGTTGTTTGATATCACACAATTGTGTCATCATTAATGTAAAGCCTGATCAAGCAAAGGAGTATTGAGTTCACTTTTCACAACTCAGTCACGTGTGCATGCACTGGAGAAAATCATGGCCACTTCACACTTGCCCTTCTGATGCAAGTAAGGAAAATTACTTTTCAGAAGGCACCTATTTGTCTCTTTAAAAAAAAAATGGTTAGCCTTGGGATCATTGATGTGGCTGCACTGCATGGAACTGAG